TTTTTTTTTTTTTTTTTAACTTTCCTTTTCTTGCCCCCAGGGGTCCTCTGTCCCCTCCCCTTCCCTATGGGGACAAAGCTTTCATCACTGTTGCCAAGGCAACAGTGGGGATGCCTCATTCTTCAGAGCCCTGCATCTCTAAGTATATTTTAGCCTTTGTCCACTGAGCTGGCTCAATTCTTTGTAAGGGGTCCGCCGCTAAATCAACCATCTTCTACCCATAACTTTATCCAATATTTCACCTTATTTAAACCGATCCAAAAGAAAAAGAAAATGTCTTGACCTGGCAACGGCCTTTACACAGACGGGTCAATTTTCTTGAATGCCCCAGACATTAGTTCTGGAGAGCAAATGTGAACATCGCCTTTGCAAGTGTGTGCTTCCGCAAGTGCGGGTCAATTTTAAAGCACGCACTACAGCATTCATAATGGATTTCCCTTTTAAAAGCACAGGAGACCAAAAATAAACCTGACAAAAGGGCAGCTGTAGAATTTTAACATGTGGAAAACTCCACAGGCGGCACTTACATAACGGGAAAGAAACAAGATAAATATTTCACACGCTCAGATGAACTTCCAGATGACAACGAAAAAAGCCAAGAACCTAGAACACACCTTAACTCTCTAGGGAGGTCCGGAGGGGGTTGGGGGGGGGGCGGGGAACGCTTGTACTGAGAAGATCAAGTCTGGGACCTGACTTGAAGCACAAGTGAAGGCTGATTTTTACCCTGCTTTCCAGAGTGTGAGGCAGAACTCACCAACCAGTACTTAGGAGCGCTTTTCCAACGATTTTTGTCCGCTAGGTAAGAAATTTTCCAAAAATCTCCCACCCTAGGCAAAACACTGAAAACGAAGTTTTCTAACACCAGAGAAGAAAAGGGCGAGACAGACCGAGCCACCCCCACCCCCACCAACGCACACAACGGTGCCCATCCCACCGGCTGCGCTCTCCCGCCCCCGGCTCCTCGCCCTGGGGACAGCTGGCAGCCCAGCGCGGGACCAGACACAAAGCGGATCAGCCTGGGGGCGGGGGCCCGACCTGCAGGACTCTCCCTCCAGCAGCCAGCCTCCTGCCGCCGTCCCTCGCTTAGGACCCTGCGGACACCGCGCCCGGTGTCCACGCCCTCTCCTCAAGCCCCCCCACCCTTAAAAAGAAGGAACATCCCAGACCCTACGTCCCAGGGCCAGAAGACCTGCCAGTGGAGACACCCCGGACCAAAGAGACTGACATCGGGACAGGACCCGCCCCTCTGCCTCCACTTCTCCCCGGACCTCTGCTGTCCGCCACCCCACCAAGTGCTGGGGGCTCGGCCCGCCTGTCACGCTCCAGCGGGGGACCCTCGGCCACGCAGCCAGCTGGCGCCCGCGTAGATGGCGAGGAGCCCCCAAGGCCTCCTGATGCTGCTGCTGCTGCACTACTTAATGATCGCCCTGGACTGTAAGTCTCTGGGGTACCTGCACCCCCTCCACCCTCCTAACCCACTCTCGAGTCCCGTTATACCAGCCTTCCGGACGCTTGCCCTCAGGCGCGGCACTCAGGGCTGGGGATCTGCCACGGGGCACCAGGTTTTGCACTCTGGGAGCACGAAGGGTAATCCGGATACAGGCAGGCTCTGGGCGGGGAGACTGAAGTCTTGAGTGACTTGTAAATAGTGCTGGGTTTTGTCAGTTCAAGTTGAAGAAAACTAAGGGTCCCTACCAGACGATTCTTTTCTCCTTACAAAGTTGGGGGAAGTTTTCAAAGACACAAGGACGTGATCAGAATGCAAAACTCATAAAAAGTATTCAAGACGCAAAGAGCCCAAGAAAGATGGCATCCGGGGTTGGCGCAGGGCACTGTGAAGTACCAGCGGGCCAGTGGCCGAGTCCTAGCTGTGCAGGCAAGGTGTTTGTGAAACATTTTAGAGGCGGGGAGTAAGTGAAGTTCGAGGCTGCTGAGCCCCAGTAGCTGTAACCCTTTCTGCCTGCAAAATCTAGTTAGAGAAGTCTTGTCTGGCCACTCTAGCCAGCTGCCGTGTCCTCAGGGGACATCCAGCCAGCAGGGCGATTGTTAGGATTGTTAGAAAGGCGCAAGAGATGAATGAGCGAGCGAGCTGGCAGCTGGCATAGCCGGCATAGCCCGGGAGATGTCCCAAAGCCAGTTTCTCTGGATGCTTTTAAAGGGGATTTGCACGAATAGCGGTCTCATGTGATTTGAAATTTGATTTTGTTTTCTTTGCGTTAGCTTTTTAGGAGAATGGAGAAAATAACAATAGATTTTTAAGTGACAATTTTTAAGTGACAAAGTCTTGGTGGTGTTTGCTTATTGTTTTTGGTTTTTGTTTGTTTGTTTTTTTTTTTTTTTTTTGGTTTTGGTTTTTTTTTGTTTGTTACCCCACATTTCCTGTGGTTTTTTTTTTTTTCCTTTTTGAGAGGTGGCTAAAATGGGCTATTGTTGACCTTCAAATTCTAGTAATAGTACTTTCAGTATTTAAATTATTTTGCCTGATAAATGTTAACGCCCCAACACTAAGGCTTTTTCTCAGACTCCCTTAGTCCCAGCCCAAAGTGATGGGAGCTCACAAAGGGGTATACCCCTCAGAGCCTGAGCAGGGTTACCTGCAGTCTCAGGGAAGCAACATGTCAAACCAAGAAGTTGAAGGTTTCACAATGAAACCTTTATGCCTTTTGAAATATCAGCTGGAATTAAACAGAACACACGGAGGGGGGGGGTATTGTGTATGGGGGGGGAGTTGAGAGGTAATGTACTCACGATGAAAATCAGCAACAAAGCTGGAATCTGGAGGAAGTGTAACAAAACAAAGTCGTGTGTTCCTCTGAGCTCTTAAGTCTCCCTTTAACAGGAGTGTGAATGTGCTGTAGAATTGTTCATTAAGAAACAGAATTCCTCTATTATTCCCATTCAGTCATCCAAGTAGAAACAATAGGCGCGTTTGAAATGGTCAAGAACGCTGAAGCAAGCAAAGGCTTACTCAATGGGCAGAATGATCCGTTCGAATTCTCGGTCATGTGCGGGCTCTGCTAATCCTGATACCTGTAAGGAATGAGTTGGGAGCCTTTTCCATACTGTCCCCCCAGTGCCAGAAAGTCTGGCATGTCATGGGGGTTTTCTTTCCTTTTAATAGATTTAAAACTTTTAAGAATTCAGACTTAAAGAAGAACTTCATTAGTATAGGACGTTCCCATATCCTCCATACCCAGTCCACCACTGTTGTCCTACAATGATGTCACATGGAACACTCTGCTCGGATTCTTCCCATTCCTATGGAATGCCCTTCTCTGCTCCAGGATTCCACATTGTGCTCATAGTCATGTCCGTTTACGCTCCTCTTGGCTGAGGCAGTATTTCAGACACCGCTTGTGTTTTATGACCTTGACAGATACTGGGGTGCTGGTCAAGTATTCTGTTAAATTTCCTTCAATGGGTATATCTCAGACGTTTCATTTGTGGTTAGTTGAGGTTTCGGGATTTGGGGAGGAAGGGCACAGAGGCAAATGTCATTTTCATCCTGTCATAACCCGGGGAGCATGTTGACATGGTTTATCATGGTTGATGGTAACCTTCATTGCCTGGTGGAGGAGGCATTGTGTCAGTTTCCCCGTAGATTCTCCACCCCCTGTCCTCAATTCCATACTATACGTTTAGAGGGAAGTCAATATCTGCAACTCACACTCAAGGAAGGAGGCAAGGGTGGTGGTGCAGGACTATCGTCTCGGCACCCAGGCAGGAGGCAGAAAGATCATCCAAGGCCATAAAAGATTCAAGGCCAGCCAGAATTATAGTGAGACTATCTCCAAAAATAATCAAGGGATGGGGTGGAGGTGGGGCTCGGAGGTAGAAAGGACTGGAAATAAGCACTTGTAAAACATGAACATATACACACACATGTGAGCATACCCATGCATGCATGCATGTGCACATGCATACACACACACACACACACACACACACACACGCATACACGCACGCACGCACACACGCACGCACTCACTCACGCATGCACATGCACATGCACACACACATGAAGGAACAAGTATCTCACTTTCATAAGGGTGAAATTTCTTCATACATTATCTGGGATTTGTATCCATCATAAATATGTCTTCTTGAACTTATTTACACACTTTTATTTAATCACTTTAATATCAGCATGAGCTTATTAATAAATATGTAAATAATATATATTTAGTTGGTAATAGAATACTATTTTTATTTATTAAAAAGGTGGAGCATCTCTTATCTGTAATAATTTAATATTCTTCTCAAATTTAGCTGTACTGATTCTTTGTCCTAATCCAACCATGCATAATTACAAAATCATGCTTATCACATTCTTTCTACTATCTGTCAATTTCTAATGTCTTTCACGGTAATCTGGGGAATTTTTTGCTGTGATTTTTTTTTTGTTTTTAAAGCATGAATTCAATATCATTTATTAATACATGGACATTGACTTTTGTATTTAGTTGATCTTTTCGTCCCCTATCAGCGACTGTAACAAAGTATCTAGGATAACTATTTTAGGAAGAACAAAGGTTTGTTTTTGCCTCCCAGTTTCAGAGGTTTCAGACTATGCCTGGCCACTGCTTTTGCTGCTGTGTTGACAGAGCACACAGGGAACACGAGAAACAGAGTTCTGCTCCAAGAGGGAACCGCAAGGGAGGAAGGAGCAGTAAGTTTCCCTGTTTCCCAAGGCCACGCCACCAATGATAGTTAGAACACCCAGGAAGTCTCACCTCCTAAAGGTTTTAAACCACTTCCCAATATTGCTACAGGCCAAAGATCAAGTCTTTGGAGAGCACATATCCAAACTCTAAACAGTTGTATTAATATCTTTCCTATCCAAACTATAAACAATTACAATATCTTTCCTTCACCAGTGAGGCAGAACGTTTTTTGATCTTTGACTGCCATTCTTGTGCCCATTACTGAACAAAGTACCTGGTTCATAGTAGATGTGAGCAAGTATCTGTTGATCAGATGTAGTCTGTTCAGCCTGCTATGACAAAATACCATAGACTAGGGAGCTTATAAACAAATATTTTTTTTCTCTCACAGCTACAGAAGCTGGGAAGTCCACAAATAAGACAAGAGCATTTCCACTGTCTCATGAGGGCCCAGCGTTTGGTTCATACTTGTTCCTTATGGCATCCTCATGTGGTGGAAAGGGCAGGGCAGCTCTCTGGGGACCTGTTTTATATAACCTCATTTGCAAGGGCCCCATTTATGAACTAATCCTCTTCCAACAGTCTCATGTCCTAATGCCATCTATCATGTTGGTAACCAGGTTTCCACAAATGACTTTGGTAGACACAAACGTTCAGACCATAGAATGGGATGGAGATGAGGTTTGGAAGACAGACGTAGTATATAGAGTGAATTAGTGATCATACTGTAATCATGAAGTACCAACTTCATGTTGAGTGAGCAGTGTCACATTTCTGTAAAGTGATAGGCTATTATTTCCAAAAACAGGAGGAATGAGTGTTCAGTATTGGGAATGGGGCTCTCATGAGTATTGGGATCTCTCAGAGAGCACTTTCTGCCACTTAACAGTCTCATGGCAGCTGCGTCTTCAGATGTGGACTGGACTCCTAGCCAGCCACTAGGCCTGAGTCTGTAATCTCTCCTAAAATAATCAGGGCTATGGTAAGAAAGAGTGGTCTGGATATATCATAGCATCATAGACTCCAGGAGACCAGTGATGCAAAACTTCTGCCAGTTGTAAACATTGCCAAGAACAAAGCATCACCATCGACTGGCTCAAGAGAACGATTTGAGGCTGGTACAGTTTCGATTACCTGAAGAACATAAAGCCCAAATGGGAGTTTTGGGTTGGTGGGCCTGACAACCATTTAAAGACTATGTCAGACAATGCATTTCTAAAAGTCTCAAGCAACAGCTTCAGCCTTAAAGAGAACATTGAGTTTCCTTTGGCCAGGAACTCTCATTCATCCTTTCACCTGTGCATGAGGAATGATGCCCGTGGGAGAATGTGGATGTGGACCACCCACGCCTTCCTTCGCACTGGATTTTTCCCTAAAGGATTGTCAGTGGGAGAATAGACAAAAACTACTGTTTTTTGTTTTTTTAATCAAAGACCGCCAGGGTTCTGTTTGGGTTGTCACATCAAATGCCTTTGTTTGTATGTCTGTCTGTCTCATCATATGGTGTCTGTCAGTGGAAAATTTCTGAGCCCATTCTCCAGGACTTGTAGAGAAGGTGAGGGTAAATTTAGAGAAGAGGAATTAGGACTTGGACAGGTGTTTCCTTTGGCAAAGCTAGGAAAGGAAGTCCTAAAACAGAGGACTCCTTTCTTGGAAGGCCTTGCTGTGTTCAAGTGGAGGACTCAGAGAACTAACCCAAATAATGAGTTGTCTATTGCTGTGAAAACAAACAGCCATAATAATACAACAGCAATTCATTGTGTTAATGTTCTGGAAGTCTGAAGTAGATCCCACTGGAATAAAACCAAGGTATCCACCAGCAGTAGTCCTTCTGGGGGTTGCAGTGGAGAACCTGTTTCTCAGCCTTGTCCAGCTTGTCAAGCTGAACAGGGCCCATCCTTCTACCTTCAAAGCCAGCAGCAACACCAGGCTGCTGCCTCTCTGACTCTCACCCTTCTGCCCATTTCGTCTGAGTGACTCAAGCTAATGTACCCATTTCAAGGTCAATTGATCAGCAATTTCAGTTCCATCATAACCTTGATTCCTAGTCATGGTATAAAGTAACCAATGTATGGGTTGGGAGGATAGGGTATGAACATCTGGGCCCTGCTGGGGTGTGATTAGTGTTACCATCAAGAACCTTACAAGGGCAGCCTGACCTTCAGCTACAGACTGTCATTCATAGTGATATAAAGCTATATTCTTGCTTTGCGTTGGACTGCAGGGTTCAGTAAAGAACGTGTACTGTGGTCCAGTGTGATGACCCAAC